TCAGGTGGGAAGGACAGGAGAAGGGCCGGAAGCTCGCTCAGAAACACCACAATCGTTGTCTCCGTCGTAAAGATGAAACACGTTTTTGTTTGAAACCTTTACTTGTCTTTGTAGGACATTAAAAGAATGCAGTTCTAATTTCGGATTTGGCCCCATTTTCCTTTTCTTTTGGTTTTCTGACCCAAATGAACCCCGGATCTCCGTTAGCTGTTTTCTCCATAGGCTTTCTCTCTCACTGATTCTCTATAGTCCTTGGTATCGCAGTCTAAACATTTTTAGTGCCGCTCATCTGTTTTTATAACGCAGGAACCAGATTCTCCTTCTTCATGTTATTTATTCCAGGAATTGCAGGAAAATGGTGAAAAATCCACAATTTTTGAGACGAAATCATGAATCCATGTGAAACTATAACTCTGGAGCAACAAACCAAAATATTTATGCTGAAGCGTGCGTGGGGACTGACCTCCCGTCGCCACGGAGACCTCTGAATGAGTGTGTTCATGAAGAACGCAGCAGAAGACCCGTTTAGTGATTTATTGCCTATCCAAGAATGTTTTAAGCAGTGCCGTAGACCATGTGTGTATACATGAAATAATGTTTGGTATATAGCATTTTCACGTTATGTCATTATTGCTCTTAACTTATTTCTATGATATTCTGGTTCTGAATGTGTTCTTTTAGATAGGCCTGAGTGTCTTTACAACGTATTTTGTTTCTATTATCGTGCCAAGTATCAGACGTGTAAGCGTTCAAAGGTCAGTTGTTAATATGAAATGTAAGCAACAGAGAAACTCTAAATGTGCAGAAAAAGCAGAGGTTTGTCAGCAGCCTTCATTCCAAACAGGTTGAGCATTAAAGGGGCTCTCGTTTCAGCAGCACTCCCCTTTCTTAGATTTTATTCACCACACTACACGTTTCAGACCATCTGAGTCACTGCAAGTGATTAATACTGTTTTAGTGTTTGCTGCAGGATTTATTGTCTCTGTTGTGATTTGGTATGTAAAAGAAAGCCTGACTTGTTTTTGCCGTAGACATAATAATTTCACTCCATCTTCTAAAAGACAGAGATTTTATTCCAGCCCTGCTGGACAGCCTGGCCTCTATCATAGGTGATGCAGTTCTTAAGCAATAAAAACTATTAGAGCTCAACTGGTGTTTTGTCCTGTTTGTTTCAGATTCTTAATTTACAATCTTCTCTCTGGTTAGTAGCAGATTTTAAAGCATATGGGTGATTTCTGTCAGATTGAAGCCTCCAGAGAAGTCATACAAGTCTGTGTCCCTGTGGCTTCATCTGCTGTAATAAAATATTTCTGGTCGTGACATCATTGGCCTTCTCTTAAGATCAACCCAGCACCCCCAGTCTGTTTACTATGTTTTTGTTTTGTTTTATTATGTGTTTACTGCATTTTTTGTGAAGCGTCTTTGAGTGACCTAAAAAGCGCTATACAAGTTTGATGTAATATTATCAGTCGGCATTCCCACTGGAAGTTTTGTATAAGGTTATTTTTTCTATTAGAAAAAATATTCGATATTATTTCTTTATATATATATATATATATATATATATATATATATATATATATATATATATCACATGTGTGTGTATATATATAATATATATATATATTATATATACACACACATCACACACACACACACACACACACACACACACATATATATATATATATATATATATATATATATATATATATATATATATATATATATATATATACACACACACATGTGTGTATATATACACATTTGATAGACATTTTTCTAACATTTAATATTAATTATACTTGCTTGTTCCTCTCTTGGAAAACCTCAAATGCGCACATCCGTTACTTGGAGATGTTCCCGGACCGAGGAATGATTTTTATTTTTGACCCAAATCTGAGTGAAAGTCATACTGTTACTGTGATTAAATAGTTCCGGTTTTAATGTTAATGTTCTCTTTAATATATTTATAGAAATATGTTATAAACTTTTTCCAGTGTATTTAGTCTGGAAAGTTGTTATAAATTGGTTTAGGAATAAAACTAGCAATCAAGGCTCAGAAGCTGCTCTCCCAACAGGTTTAGGATGTTCAGAATAAAATATTATAAAGCAATTCAAAATCCTCAAAGAACAAAGTTAAAGGAGCTTAAAGTAAACTAATAAAAGTAACTAACGTTGTATTTTATTCATGTTTTTTAGAAACGAAATGTTTTACGAACGGAATATTTTAAGCGCCTCGTGATTTTTATCTTGAGAGGCACTATAGAAATGATATTTTCTTCTTAATTATCTGGTAGAAGGCCACGGGTGTAGTGCCGCATATACGTGTTAGGGGGCGCCCTTCTGTCTAGCAGCTCGTTTTGTCGTTTTTAAAAATAAAAAACTAAAATGTTTTAATGGGACAGACACTCACGCACCATGAAAACTTAAACCAGGTAAATTAACCTGATTCAGACATGCAGTTTTCAATGTTTTATCTCATAAAAAAATAACGTTACCTGTGGGCTGTTACATCACTGATATATAATGAGCTGGTTCCAATAAATGCCAAGTTGAACAGATTATTCAAAGCTTAATTATCCAAATTAAAAAATCTTTTGATCATTTCTAAAACGTATTAAAGTTTAAATAAAACCAAAATAAACACAAAGCTTGTTAAATAATTTATTCATAAAACAGTCTTTTTCTTCTTATAACCAACCGGAAGTAATCAGCTTTAGATCAAACGCTTTTCTGTCCCCGCTGCGTGATGACGTCACTTCAAAATAAAAACAAATGACATTAAATCAGTTTTTGTTTCTTTACATTATTTACAGAAGTTTTTACACGAGAGGCGCGGAGCAGCAGGTGGGTCAGAGGGAGGAAAGCGTCGCGAGCCGGTTTTCACCTGCATCCAGAACCAGCCCGTTCGGTTCGAATCAGCCAATCATCTGGTTTTATTTAATTATGATCAGATTATAATGAAAAACGCGTCTGGATAAAAACGGAACTTATTAGATTGTAATGAATAAAATTAAAAAACTAAACGAACATAAATAAATAAAAGCGGCCGGAAGTATTTTGTGATCAGGTCCGGGTCGAATATTTGCGTTAAAACGCATCAAGTCCATTTCCGTTCTCCCGGTTTCTGTCCAACTGACCCAAACTTGTCCGGTTCTGACAGGAGTTCTAGCTCCGTGGCTTTTTGGGTTCGGTCCGTACCGGATGACTTTTGGGGGATTTCCGCATTTTGCGCACATTCGTCCTCAGTGCGTATCTAGCTGGATCTGAGAAGAACATGTCCCTGCTGTCTCCTCTGGTCCTCCTCCTGTGTGTGTCCGAACCGGCCCAGTTCTGCCGTGGGCATCACAAGGTGTCCGAGCTGTTGCTGCAGGGGCTGATCAGCGCCAGGTTGCTCGCCTTGTGCTTTTTCAACAGTCTCGTGATTTTCTCGTCGTCCGAGTTCGGATCCAATGGTTTGTTGTACTCGTCGTCCTCCTCGTTCTCCGAACTCTCCTTCATCTTCTCGGTTTCCGAGTCGTGCTTCTTCTTGGCCGAGGCCATCTCTGCTGCGTGTCTCTTCCGCCACTTGGTCCTCCGGTTCTGGAACCAAACCTGTGGAGAAGAAGCACGCGCACAGGTGTTCAACAGGTCCGAAAAGGTGCTTGTGGAGACGGCATGCAGCAACAACAACAAACATTCTCCCTGCAGGTTTACCTTGACTTGACTCTCGGTCATCCCCAGAGAGTAGGCCAGCCGTGCCCGCTCCGGACCGGCCAGGTACTTGGTCTGCTCGAAGGTTTTCTCCAGAGCAAAAATCTGCTGTCCGGAAAAGGTGGGCCGGGAATGTTTCTTCTTCCCGTCCTTATCCACCATGATGCTGGCCTGAGCTGGAGAACAGCAGCGAAACGGCCAGAAGGCGAATTCACGTTAGAGAAACAATAAAACAGCTTTTTATTAAGAAATGTAGCTCAGCTTATTTAGTAATGAATACTAATAATGATCAAATACAAGACGCGTTTGTAATAAATGGTTTATTTTGATTACTTAAATAACTTTAGCTTCAATTTATAAAATTAAACAGGAATAAAATCATTTTTCTGACTCAATAACGTAAGAGCTGGCTCTCTAAAAGCACCACAGAAACATTAATATTACTATTAAAATAATTAATATTACTATGAAAACAATTAATATTACTATGAAAACAATTAATAATACTATTAAAATAATTAATATTACTGTTAAAATAAGTAAATCAAGGCCAGACACTGACTTACCGGGACAGGGAACCCGCGGGTCCCTCCACGGGGAGCCCTGCATCACCCCGGGCCAGAAGATGGGTGCCCTCCCCGGGAGCTCTGCCAGCGGCTTCGGGTACCGGGACACCGCCGGGCTGAAGTACATTCCCGCGGCTGCGGCGGCCGCCGTCGTCGCCAGGCCGTTTATCCGGGGGAAGCCGGACAGCAGCTGCCCCGCGGTGGTGATGGGTCTCCCCAGGATGTCGCTGATGCCGTGCGGGGTTCCCCCGGAGAGCTGCGAGTTAAGGCTGGCCAGCGAGGGCGCCTTGAAGCCTGCCGGGCTCTGCTGCAGCGCGTAGGGGAACAGGGACGTCTTCATCTCGGTCATGTTGTGGAGCGCCGCCAGCGGGGTGCTGCCCAGCACGAACGCACTCTGCCGGTTAGCCTCCATCTGCCCGACCGCTAACATTTGTGAACATGAACTTCCAAAGTCACTCGGTTCAAAAACCAAACCCGTTGAGAACCGGCGCTGGGAGGACTGGTGGAACCGGGACGGGAAACGCCTCTTCTCCAAAAGTATCCCGAACGACGAGGAAAGTTCCGAGAGATGAAAACTTCTCCTCTCCCGCCGGAAAGAAGCGGTTCTCGGTGCTGGCGGGCGCGCGGAACCGGAGTCCGTGTGATGGCGGGGGTTCTGCGGAGCGTACTGGGTTTGATGGGAACCATTAAACAGTCCGCCCGTCGTTCTCAAATTGGCTCGTTTGCTTGGAGTGAAGCGGGACTCACTGATAACAGCGCGGCCACCTGCACGCGCCCACCTCCCATTGGACGAGGCCGTGCAAAGCTGCGCTCTGATTGGAGGAGAGGATTAAAACCTCAAAGCTGGACCGGGCCGGTGCTGCTTTAACGGCACTTGGAAACCAGACGTTTAAGGATGACTGACAGCAGATCAGATGCGTCTTTGTTGTAGTTTCCTGTTTAACCCCTGACTTTAAAACGATCAGGAAATAAAGAGCCAATAAAAATCCAGCCGATGCTAAAACTAAACCCGAATAAAGATCAGGACTCGTTTCTGTTTACACACCAGAAGGGTTCTGGTTCGAGTTGGTTCTGTGTGAGATAATCGGGTGTTTGGGAGCTGAGACCCCAGCCATCTCTCTGAGTGCTGTGATATTTTATGGAGATGTGAGAGGGTGAAATACGAGGCCCTCTGCGCGTGAAAGGCTTCAGCACCTTGCGTCTCATTTGCTCAGAGATGTGCGGGTTTTAAAAGGTTTTCAACGCGGGGTGATTCACGCTTGACTGTATTTCTTCAGGTTGAGGCAGACACGCGTTTTCTAATCCTGTAAATGGTCTTCTATCTCTAATTTATATGTGCAGATTTCCCTCTGATTACAGCTTTATCATCCTCTCACAGACTTTCTGACAGACCACAGCGCAAGCTCAACTGCGATGTTATTATTAATTATTATTAATAATCTGATCGTTGTTAATGATTTATTATTATTAGTAGTAGTATTATATTATTATTATTATATTAATTATTTAATAATTATTATTATTGTTGTTTATTAATTATTTATTTTTATTTTTATTATTGTAACGGTTAAATGTGCAGAGACAGGCACAGGCTAAATGATGACCACTTCCGCCCATCTCTTCTGGATGAGAGGAGAGCTGTAAAGCTGTAGCCACAAACTGAATGAGTGGTTTTTCTGCAGGTTATTTACAGTTTAAACTCTTCAGCTGAAATTTGTTCTAAACTCAGACACATAACACTAAAGGGGTGGGGGTCCGGACGGTAATATCTTCAACTGGCTAGATAGCAGGCCCATAATAACAATACATTTAATTTTAATGCCCTTTAAATCAAGAGATCTGAAAGGGCAACAGATGCGTAAATGAATATAAAAATAGAAAATGAAGAAAATACAATAAAAACGAAGAGGTTACAACAGTCACTACGTGCCAGCTAAAGAAATGTGTTAAGATGTGTGGGAAGGTAGGGAGTTCAGTCCAAATAAAATATTTTATATCTTTAAAATCTCGTTCAGACAACATTCACATAATACATTAGACATTTATTTAATATCAGCATTATTTATTAAACATATCTAAATGCATTTTATTTTTTCTTCTTGGACTAAAATGATTAATAAACAACATTAAGATAATTAACGGTTTCCATAAACAGGAAGTGACAGGAGACCAGCTGGGATTCGCCTCCTTTCAAAGTAAATATAATCAATAAAAAGTATTTTAGTACCTTAGTTACTACGTTTCTGTTTTACCTAAACTAAACCAGTTGCTCTGATGACAGCGAGGCATTATGGGATGTTTTGACCTACAGCACCCTCTGCTGGCGAACACAAACCCGCTGAGATCATTCTGAGCAGGTTGATGTAAATGACCTGGTATTTATTTTTTATAATTATTTTCTCCCAACTCATTAAAATAAGAACTGGCTGTTTATCTCTTAGGTTTTCTCAGAGCTTCGTTCTGCAGCAGCTCGGGTAACTCAAGCACAAAGACCTCTGTAGAACTCAAAGTCAAAACCAGAACCTTAACAGAACATGATCAGTAAAAGTGATGTGAGATCACCTGGATGAGTCCAAATTTAGCAGCAGAATTTTGGACAAGTGAGATCAAAAAGAAGCAAAAGTGAATACTACAACAACAACTACTAATAATAATAATAATAATGATGATGATGAATATGAATTTTTATGTTTTATTATTTGTTGATCATTAATCCTATTAACTGAATGTATTGCTCTATGCCTGAAAGCATTCTCATTCATTCAGACACACCCACACATTCCTGTAACCATTCACACACACACACACACACACACACACACACACACACACACACACACACACACTCACACACACACACACACACACACGTTCTTATCTCATGTTATAAATAAACAGCAGTGGGGCAGCATTATCTCAACAGGTTGAGCGGGTTGTCCAGTAATCGGAAGGTTGCAGGTTAGATCCCGGCTCCGGACAGAGAATTCTGCTGTTGTGTCCTTGGGCAAGACACTTAAACCCCTTGCCTTCTGGTGGTGGTCGGAGGGACTGGTGGTGCCCGTGCTCGGCAGCCTCGCCTCTGTCAGTGCACACCAGGGCAGCTGTGGCTACATTGCAGCTCATCATCAGTGTGTGAATGTGTGTGTGAATGGATGAATGATTGTTCAGTTAAACAATGTTGATTTTATATTTCATCATCAGGCTTGCTCCTGATGTATTGTTGTGTGTCCCATTTTTTCTATTCTTTCTCATTCTGCAGGTGTAGAAGCAGACTCTTGTTAATTATTGTTTATTTTTGTGGAACCCCCCCCCCCCCCCTCCCCCCTCTTCCCACCTTTTGTCTTTTCCTTTCTCTTTCACCTCTGACTCCGTGTCTGGTCGGAATTACAAAGCATTCAAAAACAATAACAATAAAGTTTTAAGTATCAGGCGTGACATTAAAAGCAGGCGCTTTGATGCTCCACCTGAGAGTAAATCTGTAAGGCTTGTTACCAGCATTCAGACATCAATTCTGTTTGCTTCACAGCCAGACAGGACACGGGGGGGGGGGGGGGGGGGGGGGGGTTTGAGTATTAATAATATTTAACACCACAGAATCTGGTTTTGTTACCGTTCCATTGAACTTTTCACAAACATTTGGGTTGGATCTGTACCTGATCTGAACCAGGGGCGGCGTTAGGCCTGGCTACTTGGGCTCAAGCCCCGGAAGTTTTATGAAAAGCCCCGGATCTAAATCGTGGAAGTAACATGCAGGACTAAAGTCCAACAGAGAGGGAGCAGCTGGCAGTAGTTTGTATACAGCCTGCCTGAGCCTCCACCACTGAAGAAGCCCTTCAGGACCCGGCTTCTTCTACACTCTCTGCCTGAAACGCATGAGTGAAGATGGACATAAGGACGTTTTTTAGACCAAAAGTACAGAACCCCAGCTTTGATGAGACTGGTGTTGACTCAGGTTTGTGAGTCTTATTTGAAAACACTAAACACTAACAGGAACAATACTCTGCCCTGAAAATGCTTAATATGTAGCTTCAGATTAAAAATTATGTGGTACAAGACAAATATATATGATGTTGACTAGTGCGTGTCACGTGTGTGTGCACGCGCGTGAGTGCGCGCGCGCGTGTGTGTGTGTATGTTAAGCCCCGGATCTTTTTCAGTCCTAAATCCGTCCCTGATCTGAACCAGACTTTATTAATAAAGAATAAACAAAATAGACTGGAATAATTTAGTTTAACAACTTCACAGGTGAAACAAGTTTTCCTTAGCCTAAAAATCGACAGACAGTAGCAGAAGCAAAAGGATTTAGCTCTGCATGTCGTTCATAAAAACCTCCACAAATCTACCATTGGTCAGACCAGTCTTGTGTTTGGCCAACTACAGCGCTCTTTGGGTTTGATGGGCGGTATGTTAGTGCGCCTATACACCCATCCATCCATTTTCAACCGCTTATCCGGAGTCAGGTCACGGGGGCAGCAGCCTAAGCAGGAAGGCCCAGACTTCCCTCTCCCCAGCCACTTGGGCCAGCTCCTCCGGGGGAATCTCAAGGCGTTCCCTGGCCAGGTGAGAGACATAGTCCCTCCACCTTGTCCTGGGTCTACCTTTAGGTCTCCCCCCGGTTGGACGTGCCCAGAAAACCTCACCAGAGAGGCATCTTGACCAGATGCCAGAGCCATGTCGACTGGCTCCTCTTGATGTGAAGGAGCAGCGGGTCTACTCCGAGCCCCTCCTGGATGACCGAGCTTCTCACCCTATCTCAAAGGGAGAGCCCAGCCACCCTGCGGAGAAAACTCATTTCAGCCACTTGCATCTGTGATCTCGTTCTTTCGGTCACAACCAAAAGCTCATGACAATAGGTGAGGGTAGGAACGTAGATCGACCGGTAAATCGAGAGCTTCGCCTTCTGACTCAGCTCTCTCTTCAACACGAAAGACCGGTACAACGCCCACATCACTGCAGACGCAGCACCAATCCACCTATCAATCTCACGCTCCAGTTTTCCCTCATTTGTGAACAAGACCCCGAGATACTTAAACTCCTCCACTTGGGGCAGGACCTCATCCCTGACCCGGAGAAGGCATTCTACCCTTTTCCGAATCAAGATCATGGTCTCATATTTAGAGGAGCGGATTCTCATCCCAGCTGCTTCACACTCGGCAGCAAACCGGAGAGCCGGAGATCACGTTCTGATGAAGCCAGCAGGGCTACCCAAACCCTCCCGAAGGACGCAGTCAAACTCCTTCTCCAAATCCACAAAACACATGTAGTTTTGTTGGGTGATCTCCCACGCACCCTCCAGGATCCCCCTAAGGGTTTAGACCTGGTCCAGTGTTCCACAACCAGGGCGAAAACCACATTGCTCCTCCTGAATCCCAGGTTCGACAATCCGATGGACTGTCTTCTCCTGAACCCCTGAATAGACGTTACCAGGAAGGCTCAGGAGTGTGATCCCCCTGTAGTTGGAACACACCCTGCGGCCAGGCGCGCAGATAGGATGGGGGACGTGGGGATCTGTCCCCCCCAGATTCAGATCGACCCCGATCCGTCCCCCCAAACTGAGGCCAGAAAGAAAACAAAATCGGAGGTTAAGCACTTGAAGCTCCTTTTTCCAATTACATTGAATGCAGCATGACGTAAACAAACACCGACTCCAGAGGCGCCAAAGTGGTTGCTGCTAGGAAGCAGGAATGGATGAAGCGAAAAAGGCAAGCAACGATTACTGCGTATTTAAAAAAGACCAA